TTTTATAAAATTTTTAATATTTTTTTTTTTTTTTTTTATTTTTAATTTTTAAAAAAAAAAAAACCAAAACCAAAAAAAAAAAAAAAAAAAAAAAAAAAAAAAAAAAAAAAAAAAAAAAAAAAATCGACGAAAACACCCCAAAAATTTTAAAATTTCATATCAAAATAGGTCCCAATTTCAGCATCAGCTGTGACAATAAATTTTTTTTATTAGGATAGATGTTTTGATTTTAGGGAGATAAATGTTAGAATGCAAAAGCTATTTATAGCTGTTTTTATAAATTCTGGGACACCTGAAAAAAATTCTTTTCCCGAATAACTTTTCGGAAATTACATCGCTGTTCTCAAAACTTCACGCAATGTAGGATTTCGGATGAATTCTAGGTCACTATGATTAAAAAAAAAAAGTAAATTTGTACTTTATTGGTTAAATTCATTATCATGCTATGCTATTCTACACATCACCATCAATATGAGTCAAATTGGACAGTAAAATTCCAGTCTTAGGGGGTGCCAACCTTAGAAAGTAAGATATATGAGCGAAAATGTGCAATTGGAATGCTGTAATTCTTGAGAACTTATACTGTATACCGACTATGATAAGGGCTCGTAAAGTATCCATTAAAACTCGCAAACAGTCTATAAACCCTTAAAAGTAAGCGATCCATAATGATAAGCAATTATAAAATAATCCCAATAATCACATGTCTATATATGATTGGAAAGATTAGAAGACCATATCGATAAGACTATTTGCCGAGAATTATGTTATTAGCCGATCATAAATTAAAACAAACTCCTTTTTGCGCATTAGTTTAAGGTTAGGGCCAAGACCGCATTAGGGTTAAGGATTAGAGTAAAGAGGTTCCATCAGCGAACACCTGATCTTGAATTCTAATTGGTCGATCAGGTTGGTGCATAAGTATTTCCAAAAAAAAAATATATTCGATACTGCAAATTAGTTTTTTATTAAAAAATGTTTCGCAATACCATATATTTCAAGAAAGCTATAAAAAGAAATAGGTCTAGTCTTCTAGGTAATGTTTTTAAATAAAGCATTGATTTATTCTCAATTAATATTATTTTCTCCAATACAATATCATTGGGTTTAGTCTCTCAAAAACGCTTGAATTCGCAAACTTCAAATATTCAAAAGCCATTGGATGGAATTCGTGTTTTAGAATTAGGACAGGTGTGATAATTTTATATATTTTGATACTAATTGGCTATAAAAAATAAAGAAAAAAGATTATCGATTTAATAATTTTCGTTATTTATTCCTTGATAAAAGTTAATTGCTGGTCCATTCTGTGGAACAATTCTTGGGTAAATACAATTTAATTCTGTTAGCTAATTTCAATATAAATTTAATAATAATTTATGCATCAAAAGCTATTATGGTGCGGAAGTGGTACGTAATTATATTGACTTATATTGACTAATCTTGGATGAAAGATAAGTATTACTAAATGATTACGATTATATTCAAGATCAAAGTTGAACCACCAGGAACAGGTGATCCGATCCGTATTTGGCGAAGAGTAGATATGGATGGTGTTAGTCCATGGTTTCGCTCAATGGGCAGAAATAAAAAGTCATGTGAGATAAATTTGCGAACAGAAGGTGGAAGAAAGTAAAGCTCACCTCGTGTTTAGCATTTAATCGATTAATAGATCAACATTAATAAGGTGTAATTATTTATAAAATAGACTCGTTCGTCAATTGGCTGACAAATGTGATGTATTAATTGAAAATTTCCGTCCTGGTACGATGGAAAAATGGGGGCTTGGACCTGGTAAGGGTTTAACGGCCATTTTAATACAATTTCAGAGCTCTAAACATAATATTTTAATAATCTTATAAAGATGAACTTTATAAGACCAATCCTTCGTTAATATACACACGCGTTTCCGGGTTTGGACAAACAGGGCCTTATGTATCAAAACCAGGCTTCGCGTCAGTGTGCGAGGTAACCAAATTTGTTTATCACACAATCACATAAGATGTAAATATTGTCCTCAAAAAAAAAAATGATATTATACATAATACGAAGGCAATGGCAGGGTTTCGATATATAAATGGGTTTCCAAATATGCCACCAGTTCGCCAAAATCTATCCTTGGGAGATTCTGTAACTGGACTAACCGCAGCATTTGGAACTGTCATGGGACTTTTAGTTAGGAATAAAATTACTTCAAGTGCTAAAACTGGTCAAGTGATTGATGTAGCCATTTATGAAAGTATGTTTAATATGATGGAAGACATTGTGCCCGCATATGATAGATATGGAGAAGTAAGTTTTGGAAAAATTTTCATATTTATGCTAAATACTTGGTATATATAACGATTTAATTTTACTATAGATAAGGCAACCTTCCGGTACTACTGTAACCGGTATTGTGCCTACAAATGCATATCCATGTTCGGATTCTAAATATGTAATCATTGGTGGAAATGGAGATGCGATATACAAACGATTGATGCAAGTTGCTGGGAGGGAAGATCTCACCACTGCAGAGTATGAAACCAACAAAGAACGTGTTCAGCATCAAGAAACGATCGACAATGCTATTTCAGATTGGACGCGTACTTGCACTTCTAAAGAAGTGATAGAAAAATTAGAGAAAGCTGATGTACCATGCGGTCATATATATAATGTTAAGGACATTGTTGAAGATGAGCATGTTCAGGAACGTGGTTTACTTGAAACAGTTCATGTTGCTAGCAAGGATAGTGAAGGATGGAATTTAAAGGTGTGTGTGTTTTACCGAATAAGCCTATACTTTTATGCATTATTATGATTCAATATTAATATTAAATCAACCATCAAGATTCCTGCAATATCTCCAAAACTAACATCTACACCCGGTGAAACAATATGGGCTGGCCCAGATTTGGGTCAACATAATCGAGAAATTCTATTTGATATATTAGAATTGCCTGAAGATGATATTAAAAAATTGCAGAAAGAAGGAATCGTTGGCAAGACATTATAAAACGATAATAAAATAACAGTTTTTTTACATATTCCATTAGATGCGTTATTATTAATAACAATTTTGATACTTAACAGTTTGTCATTCAATAAATTTTTGCATCTGAATTCTATATAATGTTGTAAATTTTAATATCATCGCACCACCCCAACTTGATTCACGTAAATAGAGTTTATAAATTGTATGAACAAAAAAAAATTAAATATTTATTATAAATCTTTCTTTTTTTTCATTTCATCAATATCTTTCCACATCGCTTCAACTCTTTTTCTTCTTTCCTTTGCTTCCTCAGCATTTTTCAGTCTTTTAACTTGATACTTTACATATCAATTTAAGAATAATAATAATACAAGAGTAATTTATCAAATCTTTATGATTCTAAGTTTGTATAATTTAAAAACACAAACCTCTGCGGTTAAGCATTCATTAAGCTCTCTTTTGATACTATTACATCCACCAAAAAACTTTTTGAAAATACTTGATCGATGACATTCCTCGAGACGAAGGATGACGTCAACACAACCTTAATAAATCGATAGAAATTCTTAATACATTTTTATTTGAATATTTTATTAAAGTGTATACGACATACTTGGATGTTCATGATATGCCAAGTTTGGGTGCATAGATGAAAAATTTTAAAAAGAGAAAAAAGATGAATTTTTTTTTTAAAAAAAAATTTGTACTACATATTGTTTATGCAGGAGTCAAAATAAAGAAATTTGCATTTATCGTTATTTTGACAATCCTATTGCATGCCTAAAGAGTCATGCATCCCGACTCTTAACTCTAAATAGGACTAACCCTAACTCTAAATTGGCCAATCTTAATTGTTTGATAAAACGACGACAAAGTTAATAGGCCTCAAAATTTTTGTACCCGAGTCGACTATTGCAGTATAAACTTTTTTGATACAAATTAATTTTGTAATTAATAATAATTTAGCAATGTTCAGATTAGTGTTTCGATCCTATTTCTGACAGACCATCCGGATTATATTAGAATCCGTCTCAGATGATATATTAAAGCTAACTTTTGGACGCATCCTTAGGTCCGTTATTTAAGTTCTTTGTCTAATCCGAGTAAACATCTCTGATTTGGATAGCTGAGTTTATCTAGATTTAAGGATTAATCCAGATCTCGGATTACGGATCGAAACACTAGTTCAGATATTTACATATCAGATATGAAATAATAAATTTTTATATGAAAGTTTTATATACCATGAAATATCAACGCATCCATTGCTTTAAATAAAAACCAAATGGATGACATATATCATAAGCAACGTAACCAAAGTGATAGAGATATTAATGATTACCTACAGATATTTTCAATTATCCAAATGTAATGATGTGTACTTTAAAGAAAATTATAAAATAAATAAGCTTCAAAATTGCCAATTTTATATGTGTTGTATGTGTTATTTGTTAAACCATAAGAATGCCACCGACCAGAAGACAAACTGCAAGGTCTTCGCATCCAAGAGGGTAAGCTATTGTATTAAAGGAATCTTGATAATTGAAAGAAATATTCACTACATCACATAATTATACTAAGTTTTTCTATTAAATAAGTCGAGGGGTACTTCGGCGCCTTATGGACCCATCTGCAAATATAATCGCAAATACTTCAAACACTCCCACTAACAACATTCCAAATGCCACATCGTCCATATCACAACAAGCTCAGGATCTTTCTGATTGGCAAACCATGCAAGTTGGTGGTCAAGTCAAATTATGTACTATCCACTCTGTAGTAGACTTGAAGATAGAAAATGGTGAAGAATTAGCATTTATTACCTATACTGGTAATGAATCTATAAATAATAAATATGTAAAGTTTTCAGTTCATTGCTTAAATAATGCTTGCAAGGATATACATATTTTTTTTTCGATAGATCAATCTTTAGAACCAGAATGGGAGCCGGTTAATAATCTCAGAAATGCCGAAACATTGATTGAAAGATGTAGACAGAGACAAGCAGATCAAGCAGATCAAGAAGCCCACGCCTCTTATATCGTAAGTATTATTACACTTAAATTAAGTTAAAAAAAAGAAATCAAAGTTTTATCGTATATATATATATATATATATTACAGTGTTCGGCTTCAAAATCAGTGAAATTCTCTACGGACCTTACAAACACACGAGAATTTTCAAAGTTGGATATATTACCTATTACAATGCGTGCGCCAAATCCTGTACAAATTGATCCAAAACCAAAACCAATACTCAAAGCGGTTCAAAACGTAGAAACAGGTATATCAGAGCACAAACAAATTAGTTTTTCATGCGTTTTAAAAAATTTCATTATAACGATTAATCTAAATTTTTATTAGACACGTCCGATCCAATGCAAATAGATGAAGGTGAAGCTCTTACAGAAAAGTAAATTGCGCAATCTATCTTTGTTGAGACAATCTTTGACCAATAAAACTAATCTGGTTTTCAGCAGACAATGGAAAGGACCCCTAACTAAAGGGAAAAACAATAAATTCGTCTCGAACGTAGTGATCAAGCACCTTCCTGAAAGTTACAAGGATGAGCACATATTGTATTGTTTAAATTTTTAAAGCGAATTGTATTTAAAGGTTTTTATCTTTAAGTTCTTCTCACTTTTGATAATACTTAAAATATTTCTAGCACTATCCTTAAAGAGATGGATCAGATGTGTATGACAAATGTTATACCTTTATCGTACGCCTCACAGTTTGTTATTAAAGATGTCTTCCTGCAAGGTGTATTGTCAATTGAGTCAGATAGGAACCTGCATTCATATGATGCACTTGAAATAGAACAAAAATGGCTGAAGGCAAATGATCTGGTATGTCATCGATATTAATATTCTGTAATTATATTTAAACAATTGTTTATTGTCAAGCATTTATAATAGTAGACAATCTTCTAGGTTGCCGTTTTCTTTCTGAAGGAGTATGAATTCGAAAAACTTTGTTTATTGGGAATAGTTAATTCAGAAAATATATGCAACAAAATTGGACTAATTCCAACATCTGAGCGTATGTTTCTCATTCCTTATAATATATCAGAACTAAAAGGACAACAAAACAGCATGATTTTACCGAAGCAACTTGTGTTAGGTATTGAGAAAATGGATGACATTGAATACTTTATGTCAGAAGTTATGTTACAAGCAGAAGGTTATTATGAAGTCTTACCACAAATATGTGCTAATAACCCAAAGTTCACTATATATGGGAACCTCCAACATTCAAATAATAAAGCGATGATTTTTTGCATGGAAACATTGGGTGGAAAATATTTTCCAATAGATACGATTGGTGATATGACCTTGGATCTTGTTTTGGTAAGTATTCAATTTTATTTATTTATATTAAAGTTAAGATAATTATCTCATCTACTCTTCAAATTACAATGTAGGTCGAAGTTACCTGGTTGAACCAATTAAACTTTATGCCAAATTTAATTCGGTTGAGACATATGAAAAGATGTCAATTTCTCGTCTACGGTTATGATATAAAAAGATTACAGTCAATAAAATTTAATACATATTTCGTACCAGGTTTCATATATAATTTTTAATTAATAAAATAACTTATTTTGAAATAATATTAACAAAATGTTAAATATTTACAGGTGGTCTTTTGGCTGTTTCAACAAAAGCAATTACGACCGAATCCCAAGCGATAGAAAGAATCTTTGGAACCGCTCATGTTGTAAGATATACCTATTAAGCTTGTTTGGTTTAATTTATCTTATTATCCAAATATTTCTCACAAATCATTGTAGAATAATGGAAAGTGGACAATATTATTAAATCCAAGATTGAAAAGTCATATTAGCGAAATAATGGGTAGAAATTATTGGTAAATGTCAAATTTATTGATGTAGTTTTTTTTTTTTTACATATTAGTTATTAATAAATATAAATAATATGTGTATATTTTAGGGCAAGAATTAGTTCGCAAGAAATCAAGTTCTTTGAAGAGGATTTATGGAAACAGGTAAATCAGCATTAATTTATTCATTTGTTGAATAGTACTAATTAATTTAAATTAGTCGCGGCAACGACACGGTAATAACGAAGTTGGCACACTTTATTGGGCTGTTTTAATTTCTTATCGCATTCTCGCGTTAAATGAAAATCCGCCTCGTCATTGTGTACTTATCGTTCACGAAAATGAAATACAATTTCCTCACTCCCAAATCCCTGGCGTAAATATATAAGATTTCATTTTTTTTCATATTTTAATATTTTTTTCGTATTTTAATATTGAATTTCATTTCCTAAATACCAAAGGTAGAAATTTTGACATTGAAAGCATTCGAAAAGAAATTTGATCAGATTCTTCAAATTTATGAATGAATTATTTTGACACTTAGGAAACGTACACTTTATTATTCATTATAGATTTTGCATAGCATTATTATTGAACTTATCGGTTTATACTTATCGTTATAGTTAATTATAGAAAATTGTTGTTAGAAGCAACCATTACATTCATAAAACAAGATACGTTGCTATCTTTTGCTAAGCTAAATAGATAATCTTTTCTTTTGCCAACTTTCTGCTATATGCGTTATATAGTGTTTATAGTTTTTTAAAGAACTCGATTTGTCTTTGTGTACTAGCTTGCCGGTTTAAGTTTATTATATAATTTTAAAGTTGACGTTAATTAAATAATAAAATGGGTTTTAAGATGATAACAGTAATTGACTGCTACTTTATTATACCGTTAGGGTTAGCATTATGGTTATATTAGGGTACTTCACCGACATCGCCCAGCGTGACATTTTATCGGTAATAATACACATACAACTACTGCTACAATAATATGTCATGTTGCATAATGTTCGCACCTGTAAAATGACACCGATTTGTTTTTTTTTGGTTAGAAGCAAAAACGGTTTCATCGACGATTTTTTCAAAAAACGTGTTTATACCAGATCTTGCGATATCTCTTGCCTGCAAAAACATAGTAAATACGTCATATGTACACACCGATACGAAGAGATAATAGTATGTCTATAAATCAAGAGTACTTAAAACCGAAATGTTTAATACAATACATACAGTATTTGTAAACTGCAGTCTTTAATTTCTCATCTAGATAACCAATGAACATCGTTTATTCGTTTATTTATTCATAACAATGATAGATTTCATTTATCCTTGCGCCCTACTTGACACAATTCTTATACACGACATTGTCCTTACATCGTATCTAATTTAACCAACAATGCACTATTAATAATAACTTATAAAGTATAACTAACTAAAAAAAGTAGCGCGGATAAAATTTAAACCATTATACGTACGAAGTGGGGAATGATGATCGCTACTTCTCCGTTTTTAAGATTCGAATGACGACTCAATTGTCATCGATAAGCAAAGACTCATCTGAAAATTCGTTGCGAACTAAGAAATATTTGGAATGAATCTTTCTCACTATATAATTGCGTAATTCATAACCTTATGCATTTGGTAAGTTTTCTCCTAATTGGATTTAGATTATTTAATTTCACGGCAACCTTCTATGAACCCAAGTATGTAGCACAATCGGAAAGCCCATAAAATTGAATCGCATAAGGTGAAATTTACTAAATGCATGAGACAGGTTTTTTTTTTCTTTGTCACTTATTTTATGCAAAGAAACTAATTTTTTTTTTGACATATGTTCTTTTGAATCGAGTAATTAAGTGACTCACATCAAGTGACTCATATTAAGTGACTTACATGTTATCGCTATTATGTGAGTGAGATAAGAGTTAAATATGTTATTAATTTTCTGGTCAAAAAAAGTTATCGATAAAATAAGAATAAGAATTGATACCTGATACTGTACTTGTAAAATATACCACATGGCATATACAGTATATTTTACTTATTTTTTTTACCAATTACGAATTTATGATTATTCGCGCCATATATCTAAAACCGAAACTAGGTCCAATATTTGCAGGGTCTCGATCATATGTATCAATCTATCAAAAACTTTTTTTAATAATTTTTGTAACAATATCAATATATCCGAGAATATTCATTTATAGGAGAACTGTACAACAGTCTGACAATAGAGTAGGGGAAATACAGTATAAACAAACAAAAAACATCGAACAATGATGAAATAATGATCGTTGATTCTTCTCTAAATATGTTCAATATTGTGAATTTATTTAAACCTATAACTGATATATGCGAATATAGATATGTACATTAAATGTGGCTGGCTACTATAATATGTAATATTATATTCTTGTTTCTGTCGCTTTTTTCATTTAAAATGCTTCAAAAAAATAAATATTGTATTACTTTCGGTCATGCATAACCTACATAGGATAAATTTGAATGCTGATAACTTCTTATTAAAAAATATTTCACATTTCTCTATTATCTTTAGATTAAAATTTATATAAATATGGTCTGTTCAATTTTTCCTCATTTTCTTAATTATTCGTGATAAAAAAAATTCTTTCCCTTTGTTAAAGTAAAAAATGTCTGAATTTTTAACTTCTTTGGCTAATGATTTCTCTAATATTCTTGATGATGGAGATGATTATAATGTCCTTATTAATGTCGGTCAAGATCAGAATAAACAATCATTTAAAGCCCATTCTGTAGTCCTGAGGGCTAGATCTCCTTATTTTAAAACTGCTTTATCTAATGATTGGATTAGAAAGGAGGGTTCTATGACCGTTTTTAATAAACCTAATATGGAACCTAATATTTTTTCTCTTTTGCTTAGGTAAATAATAATATTTGTTTTACTATAATGATTACTAAACTTAAGGTCACTGTATCTCTAAAATTATCTCTAACTCAATAATAACATTTATAGATTTATGTATACAGGAACTATTTCTATGTCTCAACAAAAAGGCGATGACCTTTTAAAATTGTTGATTGCTTCTGATGAATTATTACTTCTTGAACTTCATGAGCACGTCCAAGAATATCTTTTAGCTTATAAATCTGACTGGCTACATCAAAATTTTGCTCTTGTTCATCGAACCGTATTCCAACTCGATTCTTCAAAGGCCCTTCAAGAATTCTGTTTAATAACTATTTGTGAAGATCCCCTTTCGATATTTAAAGCTAAAGATTTTACTTCGTTAGAAGAAGAAACTTTGGTTTCTCTGCTTAATCGTAGTGATCTCGAAATGGAAGAAGTCGTGATATGGGATCATCTACTTGAATGGGGAATTGGGAATGCTAATCTAACTATCGATATTAATAAATGGTCAAACGATGATTTTAATCTTCTTCGCGAAACTTTAGAACATATAATTCCTGCTATTAGATTCTTTCAAATGAGTTCATCTGAAATTTATAATAAAGTTAGACCATTTAAAAGAATTCTTCCTAAAGAGTTATATGAGGATCTTAAACGTTATCATTTTCAAACTGGAATGCAACTTAAACCTGAATACATTCAAACTCCAAGACATAAAGGTATTTTGTTATTTATATACATTATATAATATATACTTTCTTCTTCATTGTGTTCATCATGAACTTTATTTTCATTAATAGGTATAAAATCAACTATTATCGAAAAACCTCACACTAATCTCATTTCTTATTGGATTGATGGTGGTGATAGTACTTCACTTTCTTCATATTCCGGTGAAATTCAATATGATTTCAAACTTTTGGTCCGTGGTTCCCGTGATGGTTTCTCCGCTGCTACTTTTCATGATAGATGTGATAACCAGGGTCCAACCATTACTCTTTTAAAAGTTAATAATTCTAAACATGTAATCGGTGGATTCAACCCACTTTCTTGGGGGTCTACAAATTCTTGGCGTTACACTCGTGACAGTTTTGTATTTCAATTTAATATTGATTACAAGAAAAAAATGGTCGCTAAACTTGGTAGAGTAATTCCTGCTTGTGCTCAATATGCTATTAATGATTCTCAATATAATGGTCCTTGTTTTGGAGATGGTGATTTATGGATAAATGATGATTTTAATTTGGCTGGAAATTGTAGTTGTAATAAAGAAAGTTATGATCAAAGTGTTGGTGATATGTTTCATAGAGAAAGTTGGGATAGTTGGAATGGAAAAAATGGTACTTTTGCTGTTGAAGATTATGAAGTTTTTCAAATTATAAAATTAAGGCTAAGTGACCTATAATCAAATGAATATTGGATATTGATTTTGCTATTGATAATTACGAGATTTTCAAAAAAAAAAAAAAAAAAGATTTTTTATAGAACAATCTGTTATTTCAAGTTTATAAATTTTTGTAATTTTTTATTTGTATTTATTTAATAATAATAATAAAAAAAAAAAGGCTCAAAATTTGTACATATACATTACTGCATTAAATGTTAAAGTATCCGGTTATGATAATTCTTAAAAACTACGTAATATATAGTCAACTCTTAATAAATTCATCGATATGTATTTTTTTATTACGATTATTATGATATACGTATCATATTTGTTTAAATCGATTATCGTTATATTATTAGCGTTAGTCATATAATATCGATATATATTAATTATCTTTAAGCCACATCGGACCTTATTTTTACTGCGGATTTGCCTGACGGTGTAAGTGATTATGATAATTTGAAGGTTCTACGCGTGATTAAGACAATTCTTGAGAATTAATGTGATACTTTTTTTGCCGAATTCTGAGGTTTTTTTTTTTTGTAAGATTCTGCGCTACTTCTGTGATTTTCTATACTACTATTCTTTTTTCACGATGTTACGGGCGGAAATGGTACGATTATCTTCAAGGCTTCTCGCCAGAGGCGTGACGTTGGTGATTCGGGTTCCAATTCCTATTATTATGATCAACCTTACGTGCCCCTACCTCGCACATAAGAGTCGTTACCAACCTCCGTTGTTGTAACGTCCTTTAAATAGTTTATTTAATATATGCGAGGTGCTTGGATTCATAGTCATCACTTTCGCGTCATCGAGAACCTGTGTGAAAGTCGGGGCGACACGTAAGTGAATTCCTGAAGGTTGTTCGAATCGACACGTCATCCAACTTAACATCGTCACTTTGGGGCTTTCGGCGCATTTCCGATCCTATTTTCTGGGACTGACACTTTTACACGGTAACAATGATAATCCCGCTGACCACGCTCGTATTTTATGTTGACTAATTTTCCACTTTTCCGAAATTTCCCTATATAAAATTTGCACTTTTGCAGACATTCTGTGCCGATTTTTTTAAGATTCTGTATTATTTGGTACCATTATGTGGTATTTTGCGGTGATTAATGTTTATTTCTGTGTTTGGTTGTGTTTTTGCTAAATTTGCAGTTTTCTGTCTCCGGCCCGATGTCTAACGGTAGCAGACCGGAATCAAGAGGTATGGTTTCTAACTTCTCTTCAAAACTCTTGAGAACGGGATAATAACAACATATTTTTCATAAACAGAGAGCACCATTACCTCCGCTACTTCGACCCAAAGGTAAATAAATATTGCAACTAGTACTTCACTTCTGATTTTTGACTAACTAGAGACATTACCAGCATTAGGGTTGTTCCTAAGTCTGTCGAGGAATTAACTAAATTACGCAGAATATGGTGGAAGGAGGGCAACCTCCACCCCAAGCAAAATCGGAAGAAGCATGTAAATTCCTTTATACTTTCTGATGTTGACTGAATATTTTATGAGCTAGTGGCTGATTACATACATTAAAGGAGTACGAACGTCGCACGGATGTGTTCAACTTCCATGGTCTTTGGGAATGGGTCGACTATAAAGTCATTATTTATGAATTTCCATCAAAGTCTCACGAAGTTTTAATTAGTGGAATAGTTAATGAAAATACACGTGAAATGTTTTCCCGTTAGAGAAATTGATACCCATATCGAGGGTGTTGGCTCAATTCGTAAATATCAATTCATTAACTGTCTCAGTTTTATACTTATGATATCAAATTAATCTTTGATTTTTTTTTTTTTTTTTTTTTTTTTTTTTAAAGAAACTCGTGCCTACAATTCCTGAAAAGGGGCTGACGCGTCTTTTCGCCCACCGAAACTACCAGTGCGACCACCGCCACCGAACGGAAATAATGAAAAGGTACTCTCTTCTGTTAATATTAACTTTTTACGCTGAGTTTTCATAATTTCATATTTTAGGATGAACCGTGGCCAAATCTGGTCGTTGAAGTTACGTATAATGATAGCGAAGAACATGTCCTGAACAAGTGAAAGAGTATTGGTTAAGTGATCTTAGCCACGTACACGACGCGATAGTCGTCAAAATCGATCAAGTTTCTGAAGATAAAATTCCCACACGCATGCAGGTAAGTTATATTTATTAAAGTAAGGGGCATTTCAATGTTTGCGTCATTCTAAAGAATTTAACCAACTGCAGGCTTGGCACTTTTGTGCCACAGACAGACCAAGAAGAACAGCAGATATCTAACCTCGAACTTATGTAATATCACAAAAATAATTTCCGTTTTATCAATGTGTTAAAATTTTAATTTAATTTATAAATATTCGAGAAGGCCAGTGTGTTATCAAGATTTCTCTGGATTGTTTATATCATGATACGTTTCCTAGAATTACAATTCACCGACGACTCCTACCTGATCTAATTGTATTGGATTTCTTGCTAATTCGAAACGGATTCTTCCGTATGTATGAAACTAGATAATGTAATGCATTGTGAGTATGCGAGAGCTAAGGTAGAGGTATAAATAACTACAGTGTTACTATCTTTGGAGTGCATCTGACGGTTATAACTGTGTCTAGTCAGGAGATAAAATAAGGTGAACGTGAGAAATAAAGATAAATAGATTGGCGAAAATAAATAGATATGGAAGAGATTAGGAAGTGATAATTATAGATGAGATTAATAAGTTAAGTTAATTGTTCGTTTTGCATTTTTATGTTTCAAAAATTCTTGGCAGGCGGTCGAATTTTTTAAGTCTAAATTAAACAGAATCATTAATATTATAATGTTCACATCTAATTCATGACTTTCCATGCAGCCGGAGTCTAAAAATCTTCTTGAAAAGCTTTGGTCGAATATTATAACTATGATTTCATTCTTTAATTATATACTGTATCTCTATATTTTAATTAGAAAAATATTAATTTTTTGAATTAAATTTATAAAATATACATTTTATACTTTCTAAACCAAATTATTATTGTAAAAAAAGTTTTTGTAAAATTTGGTAATGGAAACCGAAAAATTAATTTTATGATCGTCAATTAATGCAATCAAGGTCTAAATTCAAGATCGATGAATTTAAGAATAATAAGTTGTATAAGTGTTAAACCGATAAGTGTTTCGAGAATTCAATCTTATCCTTTTCTTACACAACCATATCGTCTCCACTATTCTTTCATTGAAAATCCTTAATAGTTTTCCTTTCCCAACTTTGCGACACTACACAAGCCCCAATAAAACCACAATAACCCATTCTTTGATTACAGATGCGAGAAATCTATGGTATAAACCTTTCTCCGTGTAACAAACACGTCAACTTAAACTGTATGCCCATTAGGTATTTACTTATTTGGTGCCGGTAATACAAACTAAAAAAGAAATTAATTATGTAAATAAACTAAGCGCGTCGCGTAAAGACAAAAATTTAGGGTTAGCATTAGATAGTTTTCGAGTATTTTCGCCTTTTTTCCCTTTTGCACGTGTTCGGAATATTTAAATTTTGCATTCTCTGATTGACTATTTCCTTTTTAGGATTTTATCAGTTCAAAATGAACTAATTGATGATAATAAATAATAATAGAGAAAGTAAAAACAAAGAATCGAAACCGAAATGTTCACAGATTATTAAGCTTTAATAATTTTATATTCACATAATGTGAAGAGTAATGTGAACATAAATTTTTGTAATTAAATTCAAGTTATTATAATTGTGAACATTAATATTTTAATGTAAGAAATGTATATGTTCACAAAAATGTAATTTTTTTTTTGAACTTCAAACACTGCCCTGTTAAATTACTCCACGATCTAACTAGTATATAAAGAATCAATTGTTATTAGATTTTTTTTTTTAGGCGTTTATAATTATTTTTCACTTATGTACACATATATATATATGTATTAATTCAAAATACTCTGCTAAGTCGCTAAAATCGCTCTTAGGTTCTTTAATTTATAGCATTGATTTGACAAATTTTATTGGTTTTTGAGTTTGAAACGATTAACCGAAATTGGGACATATATTATCCAAAATGAAGTAGAAATCCCGATTCTCAAACCCAAAATAATGTCATAATTCAAAAAAAAAAAAAAGGGTTGAATCGCAACCTATCTATCAGCGATTCTCTAGCAAAGTTGTCAATCTCATTAGTTTTGAATTTTATTATAATTGACAAAATTTTCATAAAATTTACCTGAGAAATTTGATTCAGTTTTGGTTGTAAACGATTGGCTATTGAAAGTAAAGAAACTTGAATGTCCGAAAGTTCCTACAAAAAAAATACATATATTATTTATAAAAAAAAAAAAAAAGGAAAAGGTTGCGGGCAAATATAGTAAAAATAAAATGTTGTAATAGATACTCTGGGCGTAAATAAAAGCTCCATAGTCTTGGAATCTTTATAAAGTATAGAAGTCAAATTTTGTTCAATTTCCTCACTAAAAGAATAGAAAAAATGAATTAATATAATAATCGTATTATTAACTAGTTAAATTTCAACCAGTTTTATTATACACACCAGGACTTGGTGAATTCTTGTTGTGCATCTAATTCTTCGTTCACTCTAGAAAATAAATTGTTTCTTGTTTGGTTGATTTCAGCAATCTTTTCCTTTAAAGATTCGTATGTAATAAAAGGAGTGGATTGCCCTTCTAAATCTTTTAAAGAACTGCGTGGTTGAACTTAAGGTGGATAAAAAAGCCATTAAAAAATCAGAATCTTTATTAAAGTTTTAATATAATAAAAAAGCCTACACATTTCCAAGTTCGTTAATCTGTTCATGGATAATAATAAATTATCACTACTTTCTACAACTGTCTTTTCTACTTTTGGTTCGACAAAATCAGTTGCAGACATGAGCATCTGTCAAATTTGCCCATAATATACATTAATTAAATTAATTTTAACGGCTTACAAAACCCGAATAAATAAATAAAAAAAAAAAAAAAAACAGTACTTTTTGTCCAACAACACAATTCCTACGATGTTCTAATTCATTTGTAACATCAGAAAACAATTTATGGACGGCCTTTTGATCATCCAACTCAAGATTAAGAGCTTTAGAGATGAATTGAGTACGCGCATATTGAGATAACAAAATATCGTTTACCTACATCATTGTTCAAAATTATCAATAAATAATAGAAATAAATAATTACGAATAAACCTTTAACCATACCAAATTAAATCTATCTATTAACGACTTTTGATACTTTGATTGGATAGTATAATCTGCTATCAATAGCGGATTTTCAATTTGCAACTCTGCAAGATTTTTTAAGTATTCTTCAATTCTTGAAGTCAAAATCGACTTGATCTGTTGGTTCATTATAGAGCTATCGCTTATATATTGTTCATATCTTAATCTAAAAAACGAAATTAAAATATTAAATGCCAATAAGTTTTTGAAAATTAAATTATAGAAAACTTACTCTAAACTATTGAAATCAGGAATAAATGAATCTATTCCTAAGGCATCATTTTCAAGTGTTCGTAAATATACAGACATATATTCGCGACGAGTAATCGCTTCAATATATTTAAGCTCAGTTTTTGGGCAACTATTGAAAAAATACATAGTATTGTTACTTTTTATGATTACATAATGTACAATGAATAATATAAGAAGCTCTAAAATAGTATTACAGTGATTTTAGGCGTTTTATTTCGTCACGTAAAGCCTTTTGATCGAATATTTCATCTATATTCTTAAAAGATAATTTTAAACTGCAATAAATATAAAATTAAAAACATGCAATACAATTTCGAAATTCTTACTTGTGGAAATAGGCTCTCACAGAATCTTTCAAGTTCATATGAAAATGCTTGATCAATTTTTACAATATCCTGGATATCGTTTGTGCATTGGAATATAAAATTTTTCGTATTTCCTATTTAAAAGAAACAAATAAAGAAAAAGTTTCTTTAATGAATAAATTAAATGCATTAGATGATCTATATAAAATTGAAATTCAACGAACCACTTTCTTCATGCGTATCTCTTTCAGATAATACTTCAGACAATGCACAGGATAAGGCAATTGTCTCAACATCAAGCTGCAAATTGTCAATATCATTTCGTATAAAAATATTACACAATAACAACATAATTTATTTAAGCGTAAGAACCTTGATGGACTCTTGTTGAATCAATAAATCAACATTTTTATTCCGCTCATCTAAATCGCGATTGATTCTTTTTAGGTCTGTGAGTTGACTTTCCAAATCTTCTAATGTCAATCTGTTTTAAATAAAACGCGTTATCGGTAAATTGTTGAATCCATCGTATCTCGAAAACCAAATTTAATATAATATCTTACTTAAGTTGGTCACGGTGATTAGATACATGATCATTCCTTTTTCGTAATATATCGATTTCATTTTCAAAGCCCTCATGATCTTTCCTAAATATGGTAAAATTTGTAATTTTTTTTTTTTTTTAATACATATCTAGACTTTCAAAGAATTCAATTAATGTACTAACTTGATCTTTGCGAGCTCCGTTGAAATACTTAAAAATAAATATATGAATAAATAAAATTATAAATTTGGCCAAGCTTTTATGCAGCACATGGCATTAAAATATCAAAGTCCCAACCACTTACAAATAATATTTGAACTTACAGACCACCTTCGTTAATACCAATTAAATTATTTTCAACATCGATATTCTCGCATAGCCAGTCAAGTAAACAACGCGTTTCTTTACTTTCAAAAGCCCATAATATTTGTTCTGGTTGTAAAGTTGAAACATTAGGATATTCCAATTTTGTCAAGAAATCTATAAATGCTGATGCTGAACGTAAACGAGAATCATTATTTGAAGTTGTAGAGTTCATTTTTTAGATTTTAACACGAAATTATAGTATATGGCGTTTATATACAAATTTCTTGACCTTAGAAATATCACGCGATGGATCGGGTATCGGACCAGGGACGGTGATTTTCTGAAGTGACAATTTCAAAATTCTGTGATGTGTGTGTGATTCTGTGATATATTTCATTCGTTTTAAATTCTACATTGAGAAATAACGGATCTATAGAATTTTGTCCATCGTTTAGAAGATACTGTAAAATTACGAATTCTGTGCAGTTTTCTTGAATTTTGCAGATTCTGCTGTGACATAGTTAAATTCAGTATGTTCTGTGCTATTATGTGAAATACTGCCTTTGCAAGGACCCGAAAGCTGACAGTAGATTCAATTACGCATGCGATAAAAGTAAAAAAAGTTAATTCTGCAAGTCAATTTAATTTTACTACTGTATTCAAATATTAAACACAAGCTAGATTCAAACTGGAAGTTAATACAGTAATACTTAAACTAGAGATATTTATTTGATTGACATGAATTTTTATTGGTTAAAATTAAAGATATTTCTGTATTATTGTTATCAATTATAGCGATAAACTTATTGTTACGTAGACCTAGACAGCTCATAAAAATTTGTAAACTAACGTGATAAACAAACTAGTATATCGGTTGTCGCTCAATTCCCCGAAAACTACGATATACATAGGGTGACAATTTAGCATTTAGTTAGCTATAGGCATTGTTGTACATTTTGGCGTGTCCAAAGCTTTTTTGGACATGTCCAACGTCCAAACGTCCAAGTGTCCAAAGTGTCCAAGCTATCCATAGCCTTAAATATTTTAGTAATTAAAATAAAAATTATATGATTATATTCTTTTTTTAATTCTAAACATTTTTGCTTAGGAAGTTTAAATAGGTTATCTTAATAAAATTTTGAGTACATTCAGTTTATTTTTTTGTCCAAGATGTCCAAGATTATGTCCAAAGGCTGTCTAACGACAACACTGGCTATAGGTTTAATTAGTAAATTTTCACCTCATGTGATGTCAGATAAATAGACTTTCGGGTAAATAATTTTCGGGGAATCGTACCGTAACCAGTATATCTGGTATATTGCTTAATAATATAACAGATAATGCAGTAAATCTAATCAAATCTATATTGCAGTTCATAATTTGCATAGATCCACTTGGATAAATTTTATTATACTCAATATTTATGGACAAAGTAATTCGAAGACAACAAGTTCTTTCAATATACAGAAATATTCTCAAGGAATCATCAAAATTTTTTGATGATAATGCTAAGTATGCTTTGTTTATACATAAAATCGTTAATGGTTCGTTAGAATATTCTTAAAAATCGAATTCGCAGAAGCTAACGAAGCCAGGATTTTAAACAAATTGGTTGATGCCCGTTAGGTTTAATGATGACAATAATATTTAAAGTGTTTGCGATATTCATGGTTCATTTTTTAATGGGTTATTGTTGACATGATAAAAATAAAAAATAATAAAATCTTTCAATTTAATAATATCGCATAAATATATAAATCTCAAACCTTAAGCAATTGATGTCTAATAAGTTAATTTAACAGATTTGATAGCTCTCTTAAACCAATTTAGTGCCTGGTAAATCAATAAAAAGTTTCATGATAGAGGAAATTATAACGCCCGCAATTAATCGACACAGACAGGTAAAGAAAGTAATTAAACCTGATGGACTTTAGCCAATTTATTTAAAATCCTGGTTTCGTCAGTTTCTTCTTTATACTTTCAAATCTCTTGTGAGTTTGAATTTTTAAAAATATTATAACGAACCATTAATGATAATTATACGTAGAAAATATTTCTTATTTTTTATGCATAATTATTAATGATTTTATATAGAATATTCTTAAAAAATCGAACTCGCAAGAGATTTAAAGAGTATAAAGAAGAAACTGATGAAACCAGAATTTTAAACAAATTGGCTGATGCCCGTCAGGTTTTATGATTTTTTTTTTACTTGTATCCGCATCGATTAAATTGTGACTCTATCTTGAAAATTTTTTTATTAATTACTAGGCACTGTATAGGATTAAGAGAGCCAATGTATTTGATATCAAATCTGTTAATCGTATTTTAGAATTAACATATGGAAGGAGGGGGCCCATGAAACATCAATTACTTAAGGTTTGAAATTTATATTTTTACGCGATATTATTGAAGATTTTTATTAAAAGAATTTTTTTTTATTTACATGTAAAAAATAGCCCATTATAAATGAACCGAGCGAGGCTCCCAAACCCATTGTTCCGGGTTTTCCAAGAACTGCACCACCACGAATGTCACAAACACTTCAAACATTATTGTCATCGCAAGTGAAAAATTTATATCCTACATTACCGGAACCAAAACATAAACCTTTATACCCATCACGAAAAGCAAATTTATTATGGAGACATTATTCAAAGATAATGAAAACTGTTCTGCCACCTGTGGATGATGTCACATTGGATCAATTAGAAAAAAATGCTGGAAAAGGCACCCTAACAGGACAAGGAGTTGCAGATAGAAATATATCATTAAGAAATCATAATTTTGATGGATTAAATAGATTAAGAATTCCTAAAAATACAGGAGCACCAAAAAGTCCGCGTGATCATGTAAAAGAAGGACCATATTGTAGTGCTAGACCTCATAACCCGAGGCCTCGCTTTATACGACGATTATATCAGAGATTATTAACTAAGATACCTATCATGAAAGAAGATACCGAGTCAAAATATTCTAATCCAAATATATTTGAAAATAAAAATAATTACTCATCTACTGTCACATTACCAAAAAAACGACATATGATTACTAAATCTCCATGGGCAAATGGACGTCCCCTTCCGTTGGTAAATCATATGGATTGGCAAGGATTAGACCCTGTTGAAGTAGAAAAACTTATCGATGATAAAAAGACTCCAAAATTAAAAAAAATTCATACTGGAGATAATTTGCCTGTCTAAATGCATGGACTGATTTTATCATTTAGACAGGATATTTCATTTGCAATCGGCCATGTGATATCTGATATACGTATAAATGTACGTACGTATTGATTTTTATCAATCTAATTGTAAATTTATGCATACAAAATTTTGCTCATTAATAATTAATTAAATTACTAAATTCCTGTATCGGTATTCAATAAAAGGTTATATAATTAACTTAGTAACCAACTTGGTTTCTAGATTTTGTATTTATTTATTATCGTTATATATATATTTAGACAGCATTCATTTAGACAGGTTTTTACAGTATAACGCATATAAAAATTCGCATGTTATTTAATGTGATGTATATAATGGTAATGGAGACTTTCAACTTTCCTATCGTATTTTCTAAATAGTTATTTAAATGAGTACGTACATTCAATCTAAGAAACAATGATCATCTTGTATTACAATTACGTATCATAGGTGTGTTAAATACCGATACGGAGATATAGATGTTATACAAGCATATCTGTTAAATAACTTCCTCACATTATCATTTTGATTCTTTCGAATGCGTGAATTTTCAATGACTTTAATCATGTGAATATCGGTATAACTTTACGAAAATGTGTAATTGGCTGGCTAATGCGGGAGACCACGAAATCAAACTTCGAAATAAAACTCTTAATAAAAACGAACCGAAAAGGAAAACCCCCCAAAACGTAATTTTTTAAGACAACAACGGTAAAAATGGTTAATGCTGGTGATCAATCAGCGTCAACTTCTAAAAGATGTATGTTTACGGACATCCCTTGTGAAGTATTCATTGACATTTGCAAGTTTGTACCTCCTGTTGACCTTGTGACGCTTACAACTGTGTGCAAGAAATTTCGTTGTTGGTTACTTGCTCCCTCTAATTTTGGAACAGAACAGATCTGGAGTACGTCCAGGATGACTTTCATACCAGGTTTGAAAGCACCACCAAAAGGAATTTCAGAGCAATGTTATATTTTTCTTTATTTAATCGAACTAGGCTGCCAGTTTTGTGGAGCTGGAAAAATGGATCCTTACGGAAAATTGCCTACTGAAGCACCAACAAAAATTTATTGGGTTTTTAGGGTTCGTTGTTGTAAACATTGTCTTATGGAGAGAACAATAACGTAAGTCTTTTGGAAAATTTAGTGCTCAACAAAATCAAACCAAAATTTGATTGTTCAAATATTTTATCAATTTGATTTAAAGTCAACTATTTGATATTTCGATTGATCAAATATTTGAAAATCAAATTTTTGTTCGATTTTGCTGAGCACTAAGAAAAGTTTTTTCTTGATTTATTATGGCATTAAACATTTTAAATATTATTATATTCATGTAGTTTCACGCAAATCAAGCGAGAAAAGATTATTCATCCTGGTTGCCTTGTGGGTGTGCCATACATAGAACGAGCTAGTCGACCACCTATCTATTGGAAATCAACTGTTGAAGCCGCAAATCGAGAATTTGTTAAGGTCAATGAAAAAGATATTAATAATTGGATTAGGAATAAAGAAACTGAACTAGAAAATTATAATACAATCGCTCAATTATGTGAAATTCCTGAGCCTACAACATGGAATAGGAAGACTAAATTAGAATCTGTTATTCGTCAGTTAATATCTGTAGTACCGAATGATGCCAGACGTAGTGAACCTCAGGTGAAAGTAGAACTTCGCCGATGTCCAACTTATAAAAAGTATGTTGATGCTTCTGAAACAATGAAGCTTTTTACAGAACATCACTGGAATAAATTCCATGATACTATTTATAATGAATACCATGATAGACGTAATTATGCTGCTTTAAGGGCGCGACAATATGACATTTTCTTAAAAGTAAGAATGAATTTGTTCCATTTTATTAAGTTTTAATCTGAATTTTTAGTTATTTATATAACTACTTTATTAGGTTCATTCTCTGATTCAAAAAAAACGTTATACGGAGTCAGATCCTCTTGTTCAGTATCTATGTTATTGCCCATCGTTTATGAAGCCACCTTTTGTTTCAAATAATTTAGGTGAATCTTGGGGCATAAATCTTGATGATAGAGTTCTTGAAAATAGATTAATTCCACAACTTGCACAGGAAGCAGATATTATTGCACATAAGCCTAAACACCCAAGTCCAATAACAACTGTGGCTGGAGTTCGAAGATTAAAACTGTTAAACAGACCTATTTTCCGATGTAAATTGTGTGTTGAGTCAAATGCTGATTGTAATATACTAGATTACAAAGAAGTCTGTAATCATTTACAAAATAAGCATGGTATCACAGATAAAAATAATAATAATATGATTATAGTCGATTACTTGGAAACAGCAAAGAACCATTTGAAACGTAATTCAAATTTAATTTGTTTTTTCTTTCCTCTAAATGAATGAAATTTAAAATTTTTTTTCTGATGTAATATCATTTATTGGATAATCAATATAATTGTAATCAAGTTATATTTTACGTTTTAAATGATCTGGCTGTTTTCAATATCATTTATACTTTTCTTCGTTGACCCAAAAATTCTAACGCCACATTTTACAAAAATATCCTATATGTAAACATCCATTTATTCCTCTTTACTCGCCGCCAGTTTATAAAGTCCTTCACTAAAACTTTTAGTTTCTTCTTGAATAACGTTAGGAGTCCATTCATGTATAGTTTTATCTTCTTGTACATATTTTAATACTTTTTCACCTCGTTCTAACATTAAATCTTCAATAGTAACTCTATTATCTCGAAACCATCCTAAATGATCTGCTATTAAATGATGGTTTTTACATGAACATTGGATTATAACAACTCCGTTATTATATGCTTGTTTTGATATTATTTTTGTTGAACGATGTGAACAAACTTTACACGTAAAAGCAATAATAAGATGACCAGCATTGTGGATGAAACGTAAATTTTCGCTTAGACGAAACCTCCCTCCGGAGCTAACATAACCTGGTAAAATTTTCAAATCCTGGTGAAAATTATAAAATCTGGTCAAAGGTCCGAGACCTGACGAAAGTCGAAACCTGGTGAAAGCTCCGAAACCTAAAGATCAAAATTTATGTTTAAAAACTTAACGATTGCATAAAAAATCGAGCAAAAAAAGTTAGACACTTTTACAATAACGTGACCACATTATAGTGCGCGAAAGAAAATTGGTCGTTTAAAAATTTTTATTCCTGCTGTACCTGATCTTTGATATAAATTACAAATGAAAAGATCACATGATTTGAGTTAATTCTAAGATCGGGGTTACATAAAAATTTAGACACGTTAGATCTTGATATAAAATGTTACTTTATTATTCATGATATAAAATGTTAAAAAGATTTTTGAGTCAAAAAGTTGTAGTAAACGATAAGTTGAGTTCGAGCAATCGCCGTTCTGCGCGTAATTCACGTTACTGGACACGTTTAGAATTAAGAGTTTTAGAGAACCTTGTTTCTAAATATGGTCAAGATTGGAAAAAAGTGGCGGAGCATATACCTGATAGAATGGCAAGTGAATGCGAATCACAATATTTAATCATGTCCTCATCCGACTATTTCTCATCTCGTGTTAAAGCAAAAAACACTCGTGTAAAAGGTACTAGGACAAAACTTAAATCTAAACCGATTTTAACTGAAGAAGAATGTGAATTTTTGAACAATTTAATTGGGAAATATGGTTGTAGATGGTCAAAAATTTCAAAGCATTTTCCAACAAAGAGTTTAAACTCAATAGAATCATTTGTACGTAAGAATCCAAATAAATTTTCATCTATTTTCAAATTTCCGGAAAGATTAAGAAAACACAGAAGTTGGACTGAGAGTGAAATGAAATTATTAAATAATCTAATTATGAAATATGGTCGTAATTACGATGCAATTTCAAGAAGAATACTTGGTAGGACTTCGGAAGCCGTATCTCGATTTTTGCCACGTCATTCACCAGATTTACCGGCGCTTCGTAATGCGAATATTTTAAGATGGTTCAAATCTTCAAGTCTATGGACTGATCGTGAAACACGTACATTAAATGATCTTGTTGAACAATACGGTAATGATTGGTTTCTTATATCAAGTAAAATTTACGGGAGAACAGCATTTGCATGTCAAGATAAATTTTATGCATGTTGGCAACCGAATAAAAATAAAAAAGAATTAGTCTTACATAGCTGGCCACAAGAAGCAATTCAAATTTTGGATTACTTAATATCAAAATATGGCAAATGGCAAATAATACCAATTCTTTTACCTGGGATGACACCATTTCATTATTATATGCGTTCTGCGACTAATATTTGGGGTTGGAGAAATCATGAGATATCACTTTTAAAAGATTTAATACAAAAGTACGGTCATGATTGGAAAAAAATTAAGGCATATCTTCCACATAAACGTATTAATTCGATCGAACTTCATGTAAAAACAAATTCACAACTTTATAATATTGAAGATCATAAAAATAGATCAGAACTATATGAAATTGGACAGAATTTTGGAGTACAAAGGCGATGGAGTGCGGATGAATTGAGAAGACTTTTAGAACTAAGATCACAATATGAAACAGATTGGTGTAATATTTCCGAGGGGCTACCTGGTAGATCACCATCCGCGTGTTTTTACAAATATCAAGTAATGACAAGGTTATTATTGAAAGTCGGAAAAGATTGGCATTCTAGTAGTATCATACAAGTTCAAGACTTTTTTCAGAAATATGGACCGGATTGGGAATTGATATCACAAAATGTACCAGACAAAAGTCCTGTTGAAATACAACAATTGGTAAATGATAATCCGATATTCTTTTCAAATCCAGGTTTTGATAGACATTTCATCGACACCACAAGAAAAAAAGCAACTCAACCTTGGTCTGAAGAAGATATAGTTAAGTTAAAGAATCTTGTAGAAATACATGGTAAAGATTGGAATAAAATTGGGTCTCAATTGGCAGGGAAAACATGTGAAGAATGTGAGGAATATTATACGAACCACTTGACAATATCTGAAAACAATGATAAAGCATGGACTGAAAAAGAAAAGCAATCATTAAAAGACTTATTAGAAAAATATGGTACGGATTATGATCGGATTGCAAGATTTATTCCTGGGAAATCACAAGAATCAATTAGATCATATGTTACTATACATAAACAAGAACTTTTACCCAAAGAACTTGAAATGTACGTGAATGAATCGAATGTGCCACCATGGACAGAAGATGAAGAAAATAAATTGATTAACCTTGTAAGACTTTATAGAGAAGAATGGAAAATGATATCAGATTATCTACCTGAAAGATCACCAATTGCTTGCAAACGTAAATATTATACTATTTTACATCCAAATCTTCCAAAGGTTGAAGCGACCTCTTAAGAATAAAATTAATTTGATGTGCTTCTAATTACGCTGTGATAATTTTTAAACTATTGTAAATTTATGAATATCAAAATGTAATTTAATATAATAATGCTAATTAAAAAAAGTTAATAATACGTCAATATAATGATACGTACGTACTAATTTTTTATCCGACACGTGGGTATTAAAATTGGTTATGATCAACTCTGTTGAACGGGAAATTTTGTTAATAAACACACATTGGCGAGTTTCTACGTATAAATTTAATTAAATACATTATGCCTTTTGGGCAGGTAACGAGACTTGCTTCGATTATCAAAATTCTTTATGTTTGGAATTTTAACAAATAGTTGACACCTCAAGGTTGTTATTGGACCTCCCGGTTCGGGAAAAACTACTTATTGTAATGGCATGCAACAATTCCTTCGCGCTACAGAAAGGTAAGAATGCTAATATAGTTTCCTTAACGTGGTTAACGTGTTCTTTTTGACAAAATTATTGATAGCTGCCTAATTAATTCATTTACTGATCTTTATTATAATTTTTGTTTAAATTTATAGGAAAGTTTCGGTAGTAAATCTCGATCCGGCAAATGATTTTTTACCATATGAATGTGCAATAAATTTGGCAGATTTAATTACCTTAGAAGAAGTTATGGAAGAGTTTAAATTAGGTCCAAATGGAAGTATGATGTATTGTATGGAATATTTGGAAAAAAATATTGATTGGCTTGAAGAAAAGCTTAAAAGCTTAGAAGGTTCGTTTTTTATGATTTCGGGTTAATTGTTTTTTTTATTTCTTTTTAACGTGATTATTTTATTATTGAATGATATCTATATGAAAAAGATGATTATTTTTTATTCGATTTTCCTGGTCAAGTTGAGCTTTTCACTCATCATGGATCAGTAAAAAATATTATTGAGAGGTTGCAAAAGTTGGATTATAGGGTAATAATATTTAGATATTTAGTTTACTTTTTTAAATACTGTCGCTTTCCTCTATAATCACTAATGTGAGTGAAAATTTACAATCATGCAAGACAATTATGTGTGAGATTATAGAAGGAGGTGACTTATTATCCATATAATTAAATTTTTAGTTATTTAACTTTTATTGTAATTTTTTTTTCATTACAATAGCTTGTAACGGTTCATCTAGTGGATGCACATTATTGTACTGACCCATCAAAATATATTTCGGCGTTATTATTATCATTGAAAACAATGTTACAGATTGAACTACCTCATATAAATGTACTTTCAAAAATAGATATAATGGAATCGTATGGTAAATTAGGTAATATCACAATTTAATTAAAAAAATTTTTTAAATTATATTTTTAAGATTTACTTAAAAATTATTAATTATTAAATTTTCCATTTAGCTTTTAATTTGGATTTTTATACCGAAGTACAAGATTTGTCATATTTATTAGAGCATTTGGACTCTGATCCATTCGCAAGTAAATTTAAAGAATTAAATAAAGCATTATGTGGACTAATAGAAGACTTTAGTTTAGTTGGATTTTATACACTTTGTATTGAGGTGAATATTTATTAATTTGGTTATTACGTTATTTAATAAGTTTTTATCATAATTAATCTCTTTCTTTAATATATATATAGGATAAGAATTCTGTGATGAACTTAGTAAAAGTAATAGACAAAGCAAATGGATACGTATTTGGCGGATTAACACATGGTAACGAAAGTATTATGATGACTGCAATGAGTGACATAAATAGTCATTATGAAATTATGGACGTGCAAGAAAGATGGTTAGATCATAAAGAAATATGGGATGAATGGGAGGCTAAGCAAAGGAAACAACAGAAGAGCCAATTTAAAAATGAATAAATTTATTAAAAACTATTTTATTATCACATGATGAATTTTTTTTCGTGTTACTGATTCTAGAGATAATCAAATCATATAAATTAAACCTTTTTATGACAAATTCTTCCAGAGCACACTCCTTAGATCCCTTATCATTCAACGTTTGAAAAATCGATTGACCATTGGTTTGGCTTGAGTCATTAGTGTGCTATATTAATAATAAAAAAGATTTTTCTTTTTTGCGTAAAGAGTATTTCTTTTGCAAGAAATAAATCTTTTGAAGATTTACTGTATTACAATTTGGTATTGTAATTTTATCATTTCTTTATCACCAAAAAAAAGTAAATCGTACATTTTTTAACTGGAGGCAAAAATTTTAGTTTAGGATTTAAAATTTATTAGATGTTTAATGTTAATGAATATAAGTTACTTTAAAGTTAATAAAGTCTAGTTATTTAAATACAATATGAAGGTTGCATTTTTAAACGTTGTTTTCAAATGTTTAATTATTGTTGTTTAACCTTTATTATAATAATAATTAGTACACAGAAATAAAGAATTAAGTAAATATTATAACTTTTTTTTTTTTTTTTTTTTGGATAATTATCTTATCATATTGTAGTTATTTATAAACGCATATAATAAATAACCATAGCAATAAAAAATTTACCACTCTGCTTCAAATACTGCTGCCATACCCATACCAGAACCAACACACATGGAAATTACACCAAGCTTCTTTTTTGTTCTTCTTAATTCGTATAAAAGTGTAGAAACTTGACGAGCACCTGTACACCCAAGGGGATGTCCAATAGCAATGGCACCCCCTTTTGGATTAACCTTTCTCTTGTCAATACCCAATTTTTCAATACAATAAATAGCTTGAGAAGCGAATGCTTCATTAATTTCGTAAATATCGATATCATTGATTCCTAATCCAGTTCGTTTAAGTACCTCAGGAATGGCATAGGCCGGACCAATACCCATGATACGAGGTGGAACACCAACAACCGCGGAACGAATAAATTTACCAAGAATTGGTAAACCAAGTTTTTCGGCTGTCTTTCGTTTCATAAGTAAAACTGCTGCTGCACCATCTGAAACTTGTGACGATGTGCCAGCAGTCGTCACACCATCCTTTGCAAAAGCGGGCTTTAATTTAGCCAAACCTTCAAGTGTAGTTTCTTTACGAATACCATCATCTGCAGAAACAACGATAGTTTTTTCTTCTTGAGTTTTAGGATCAATCCATTTAGCCTCCACTGGAATGATTTCTTCATTGAAAAGTCCTGCAGCTTGGGCTGCAGCAGCTTTTTGATGAGATTGAACTGCAAATGCATCCTGCATGGCACGAGTAACGCCAAAATCCTTTGCAACATTCTCAGAGGTAATTCCCATAGGTAATAGACAATCGGCTGATTGTTGGTTTGAAAAGACCTTTTCAGATGTTTCACTAGGCATTGCACCAGCACCAAATCCAAAGGTCATACTTTCAACACCGGCACCTAAAAATAAAATATGTTAAATTGATGAATGTTAACACCTAAATTTTCAGCTTATTGATATCCTAGTATTGCCAAGGAAATATGTGGAATTTTTAGATAAAAAATTCCAAGTTTCCTTGCGTCACTCATTTAAGGAATTAACATTACCAATTCCAATTTCAATTTGATCTAAAGCAATTTCATGAGCAATTTGTGTAACTGCTTGCAAACCGGAAGAACATTGTCTATTAACAGTATTCAAAGCAGCAGTATCGGGAATACCAGCGTACAAGGCGGCAGCGCGAGCAACTGTTGCACCTCCACCAGGAGGAAGTACATTACCAACAGAAATATCTTGAATAAGTTTTGGGTCAATTCTTGTTTTGTCGAGAACAGCCTTAAAAACTGCAGCTAAGAGTTCTTCAGGAAGGGTATCCTTGAAGCCACCTTTTTTTGATTTTGTCATGGGAGTACGAACTGCAACAACTATAACAACATCTTCAGGGCTTTTATGACCAACCCTAGCAACAGCGGGGTTATGGTGACTTGAAAAGTGACTCACAATTTGTTGAACTCTTTGAGCCATTTTATAATATTATATATTGTTATTGAACGTCGACAAAAATTTAAAAAAAAAAGTTGATGCTAGGAAAAGATGCAGGAGAATTGTAATACTTATACTTCATCATTTTGATTATCATTACAAATTGATTTTTGATTTTGATTTTTGATTACATGATTTTAAATTACGTTACATATGGGCGGAAAATTGATTGAACGATGAGATTAAATAGAATCTAAACCAATAATATATAAAATATGGTGTGATTACTGATATTAAAAGTGATGTTAAGCAGTAGCTTATCCGTTATCCATATCCGTTTAAATTATAATCATCCGGATTACTTATCCGTTAGCTAAACCCTTATCCGGATAACTTATCCGGATAACCCTATCCGGATCCAAGCACTACAATAATCACAGCATTTCAACTACTGTTAATAATGATAAATTGTATCTTGATGCGTAATTTGTACTCCACGTATTTGAGTGTAGCGTTGAATCGGGCCAATTATACTTAACTAATTATTAAATTATTAGTCGACTACGTAGTTGAGACTTTTTTCTTTAAAAAATTTGGTTGCGAAGAATTTCTTGAAGTATTTTTGGCATAGGTTAGTAATCGATTTTCGATTTGAAACACTGGCTAGAGATTAGGGGTCTGCAACCCGGGCTCGTGCCTGTGCCCAACAAAAAAAATCCAGGCATGGGCACGGGCATGAACATGGACATAAAAACTTGGCATAGGCATGGGCATGGGCACAGGCACAGAAATTTGATATTTATTATTTAATACTTTGCCTGGCACCTTGTGCCTAGCACTTTGCGCCGATGCCTTTATGGTGTCTGGTAATGCCTTAATAGTGCCTGACACTTTTGTGCCTATAGGCACAGGCATGAGTGCCCGGCCTGGCATTTGCAGACCCCTACTAGAGATGTACCTCGCGTGAGATAACAAAATTCTCACACCCGCAACTTCACGCAAGATGATGTCAACCTTGCGTGAAGTAAAATTATTCAATTCTGCAATTAAGGTAATTTTAATAATCAGCGAGTTATCAATTAAATAATATTAAATAACTACGTTTTTGTTACGTCATATTATTAATAAGTTTTTACATGACTCGCGCAAAATGCAATGTAACTTTGCGTGAGGTTGTGAATATATGCTAATTTGACCTCGCGCGAGGTACATCTCTAACTATGGCCTTAGTGATACGAGCCGATGAAAAATTTAAGCTTGGGCGACCGGCCCGGTGTTACGATATGGGAGAGTAAAGTTTATTCGTAGGCCAATTTAGTCAGTATCGTAGGCATTAAGGTGAGTATATTTTATTATTTTTGAAATTAAATTTATTATTGAGAAAGCGGTTATAAGAATCCTTTTTATTAATTTTTATCAATGTTGTCTTTTACAAGAAGTCAAACGATTGCTTTTTATCCCTCCTCTCGCTACTTCTTATATACTTTCTTGATACACTACTACTAACATCTTGTATTTAGTTCAAAAAAATGAAGTAATTGCAACGACATAGTAACGACATAGCAACGACGTACAGAAGATTTATGCCATAATTACATCATGAAAGAAAAATACAAATAAAAGAAAATAAAATAAAATAAAATAAAATAGAACAATAAAATAATAAAATGGAACAGTAATATGAAGTAATAAAATGTAGTAATAAAATGAAGTAACCTCGTCCTAAACATTGCGACATTTCAGTATCTCGTCATTTTCCCACCTTCATCTCGTCATTTTCCCACCTTCATTTTAGCTTATATTTTCACGTGACTATTTCTGCTGTGACACCGGGTTGACCTTATATTAATGTTATTTTTCAATGTCAAAACGACACTAGTTATATAAATTTACGATTCTTTCGAAAACTACTTTCTCAAATAGATATAATCCCGATGAGATTAGCCAGCATTATGGATACTTCCAGCTAACTTTATCAAGAATACTAACGAAACGGTAACGGTAAGATTATGTGTTTAATTTTTAAGGAGATAGTTAATTAGCACACATGTGATATTGTCACCTATAATAACAGATAATGATAAAAGATTAGGGTTAAGGGTAAGGGTCAGGCGTTAGCAAGGTTGTTAGTAAAATCTCTCAAGGAAAGACTTTTTGTCAGAGCACTAAAGATGGTTTTTTATGCAGATTTTTGAATTATATGCGATTTTTGGCAAAACGAATGTTTGAATTTTTCTAGTGTTCAGATCTGTTGAACTTTCTATAGATATCGGATAATTTGTTTATTCAACAGATTATCCGGATCCGAACACTACATATTTATACGTACTCGCTGTTTTCATTCTAAATGATTAAAATTTAAATATTTGCCGATTCGATAAGTTTATATCAATATATATACCGGTATAATAATAGTAAATATATTATAACTCTAAAACCTGTCACATGTTAATATAAAAACTTGTACGTACGTAGAAATTTTGATTTTAAACAACCAATCAAAACGAATCTCACATACTGGTAGAATTTATAGTGTGCTGTTTATTTACAATTTGCAAGAAAAATATTCAAAGAAAAAAAATGTCAACACCAACACCAATTCAACGAAAGAAAGATAAGAATTCATCAGTGTCTTTTACGGATAATTTATATAATAATCAAAAAGAATCCCGTAAATCTCCCTCTTTAATTAAACCAATTTTACAGGGAGTTGTATTTTTTATAATTGCATTTTTCTTGATTAGTTATTTGATTACCGAGACTTGGACTTGGGGTTATCAAAATAAATACACAAATTGGAGGAATTGGGTTCCGGTATTATTAATTCATATTTTTATATCATAAAAGTTTAACTACGAAAAATTTTTATTCAATTTGAACAATTTCTTTTTAAAATAGCGTAAACAAATTGTATTTACCGAAAAAGAGCTGGCTAAATACGATGGATCGGATCCAAACTTACCAATATACATTGCTTTGAAGTAAGGAACTTTATTTCATATTTTGAAGATTAAGAACAATTATGTATTTCATCAGTTTTTTTCGATTTTTATAGTGGAGAAGTATTTGATGTTACTAGTGGAAAAAATTATTACGGAAAGGTAAAACAATGTTCGAATAATCAACACAATTTTATAAATGGTCAGATTATATTAATAATTCGAAAAAAAAACTTTATATATAGGGTGGTGGTTATAGCTTCTTTGCTGGAAAAGATGCCTCTCGTGCATATGTCACAGGATGCTTCCAAACTCATCTGACCCATGATCTGCGTGGTCTAACGCCTGCACAAATCAAGGTAGTTTATAATATTTAATGTAATATATATTTTTTTTGTTTTAAATTTTAATATTTTAATTCTTTAGGATGTTGAAAATTGGGCAACTTTTTATCGCGATCACCATTCTTATTATAAAGTTGGAACGGTTGTACATCCACCTATAGATCCAAATTCGCCTATTCCAGCACCGTGTGATGATGCTTCATCCCCGAAGGCGTAATCAGAAGAATTATATGAATTGAGTGTATACTTACCTTATCTCATAGCATTTTAGCTATTATTTAACATTTATTGATAGTAATTGATTCAATTTTGAGACATCGCGAATAATAAATTTGTCATTTTATTATTTAATACAATTAAGTTTTTAATTTGTAATTCTATAATTCGTAACGATCTTCCATAATATAAAAACGAAGGAAAAAAAGATTATTTGCAATGCTTTTTCTCAAATTTTATCATATAATCGACTAAAACATTAACACCCTCCAAAGTCATAGCATTGTAAATACTAGCTCTCATTCCTCCGACACTTCGATGTCCTTTTAATTGTAGCATTCCTAAATCGATAGCACCTTTTAAGAATTCACTCTCTAATTCTTCTCGTTTAATTCTGAAAGATACATTCATCCTTGATCTTACACTTTTTTCAACGGGAGATATATAAATTTCCGAATTGTCAATTGTGTTATAAAGTTTTTCTGCCTTAAGTGAATTAGTTGTTTCAATCGCTTCGATACCTCCCAATTCTAGTAACCATTCAAATACTAAACTTGAAATATATATTGAGAACATTGGAGGGGTATTATAAAGTGAATTATGATCTGCCATTATTTTATAATCTAACATCGTGGGAATTACAGGAATACCAGAATTTTTGTTATCCAAATTTTTGGATTTTGTTAATAAATCTTCACGAACTATTACAACTGTTAAACCAGCTGCCCCAATATTCTTTTGTGCTCCCGCAAAAATAACTCCAAATTTTGATACATCAAAACGACGTGAAAGTATATTTGAAGACATATCACAAACTAACGGTACAGAAGGATCAATTTCTGGTATATTATTAAATTCTACTCCGTGAACTGTTTCATTATCACAATAATAAACATATGCTGCTTTTGAACCACTAAGTTTCCATTCTTCTTTTGGTGGAATTGATCCATATGATCCTGTAAGTTTTTTAACATCAAAAACTATGTTGACGTTATTGTATAATTTTTTGGCCTCTTCAGCTGCTTTAGATGACCATGAGCCTGTGATTAAGTAATCCAAGGGTGGGTTAAATTCTTCCTTGAGGTCTTCATCTAATTGTTGTCTTTTTGCAGATAATAAATTATAAACTACCGCAGAAAATTGTGTACAACCACCACCTTGCATGAATAAGATTTTATAATTATTGGGAATGTTGAGTAAGGTACGTAAATCACGTTGAGTTTTATTATTAAGGTTATCGAATTCCTTGGAACGGTGAGAAAGTTCCATAATTGACATTCCAGTGTTATTGTAATTTAATAATTCAGCTTGAGCACGTTGTAATACTGGGGTTGGGATTTTTGCGGGACCTGCTCCAAAGTTCCAAACATTTGGTGTCGACATTTTCGATTAATGATGAATTACTACACGAAAAAAAATTGCGCATTTATATCTATTCTGTGTTGCACATGAGATCTACAAATTTGAGAACATTATTAATCGATAATCGCCAATTTTTATTGACAATGGATTACTAATCTGCCGGTAATTCAAATTCCTAAAAGGAACCTAATATAAAATTAAACAAAGTACTTGAAGACAAAAATTTAGGGCATTAAGGTTAGATGCTATAGCGATAGGAAATAAAATTGTCGCTTTTTATATCAGATATGCAAAATTTCATTCCCATCATTTCTAATTAGTACCACAGGATCTTTTTTTAACATTGCGCACGTGTTTGGATTCTACCGGATGATCCAATTTTACGATCTCCTTTTGGAAGTTTATATAAAAGTCTATTATTAAGCAACTAAGTTAGGGCGCGTGAAAATACGTATACTGGTAGAAAATGACCCTCCGAGACTATTTAAATTTATGAATGAAATTAAAATCTACTAGCGATCGATCCAGTAATCTAAACTTTTTTTTATTTTATAGAGTTCACTAAAAAAAATTTTTCGGACTTGTGGGTTTACAGCGTAGTGGTTACGCTCTCGGGTCACAATCGCAAGGTTGTCAGTTCAAATCCCATCGGGGGGATTGACTAAATTAGAATCACGATTAAAGATTTAAGATTTTTTAAAGATCTTTTCTTTCCGTTTTAAGAACAAAGATACATACGAATAGGAAGTATGGTTTAACCATAGATGTCACACCATCAGACAAGAAGAAATCTACCAGAAAAGGTGTAAAAATTGGAATCCTTGTGTAAAGAATATAGCTGAAATCGGAAATTAATAAAAAGTAATACTGATATGTTTTTAGATGTTTGTATTAGAGATAGTTAAAAAAAAAAAAAAAAAGGTTATTCAAATCTGATTACTGGATCACAAGTTTAATTTTATTCATAATATACATATAGTTTTAGAAGATTATTTTCTCAAAAAAGATCTAATATACTAAAGTATCTAGGATTATGTTTCAAAAATAATCAAATTATATAGTGACAAAATTTAAATTATAAGTTTTTATTTTTATTTTATTTTTTTTTAAATAAGGTTTTTTTTTAATCTCTTTATGATATAGAAAAATAAATTATAATTTATATAAGTATAATAATGATTATCTATATTTATAAAAAATAGAGATAAGAGCTAATTTATTCTTAATCTAAGCTTAGTTAGAAAGGTTAAAAATCCTTAGTCTTTGTATATTTGTTGAAGAGTTAAATGATTGTAAATAATATAACTTTGTAGTTTAAAAAAAAGTGAAGCAAATAAGTTGTGTAAAATTTTATTTAGTATAAATAGATATAAAGATTTTTTTTTTTAATTCAGCAGTCATGCCAAGACTTTATTTAGATTTGCTTTCTATTTGAAAACAACATTATTTAGCTATATACTATCTAATATCTAATTTTTTAAGCCCTGACTTACTCAGTTATCTCGAAGATACCTATGTGTGATCTGCTATAGTAACCTTTGTCTTATACTAAGGTAGCTAAAAAAATAGACTACAAACTAATATAGGAAGGACACTATAGCCTATCATGACTACTTTTATATCCAATTAGTTAAAATTCTCTCCTTTACTTCCCTTGCTATACTATCTAACACTATTTTAAAACTAATGTTACAACTTTCTGTATTCTTATCTAATCTGCAGTTTGTTTTTTTCCTTGGTGACTTTCCTTTTAGAATATTTTTTCCTTTTTCCTTCTGTATGTATTTTTCTTTCTTGAAGATTTTTTCCTTTTTTTCCCAAGCTTTCATATCTTTGCATCAGTTTTTTCAAACTTCCTTATATACTAGTTCTATCCAAATATTCTAGAACAGGTTCCAGAAACTAGTTGTCATACTTTCAGACCTGATGATATTTTTGATTCTTTCAGCCTCTTCTTCACACAGTATACCTCTTAACCACTCTTTTCTTCTTTGTTGCTTTGTTTTTTGTTCATATTGGATTGCTTTAGCTATGCTCCTTAAATCCTAGTTTTTTTCTTTTCTTTTATCTTTATCAAGCCGTTTTTATACTTCATCTTTGATTTTTTCAAGTACTTAATAGACTTTTTCGTTGGTAACTAAGTACTTAATTGATTCTTTTTCATTTAAGTATCTTTTGCATAGGCTATCTTTGTACAATTTTAGCTTCCTGAGGTTTAGTATTTCTACTGTTAGTAGGAGGTTTTTGATGCATTTGATTTTGAACAAATACAAGTAGTTTACTTCAGTATTTTGGTATTGTTTGCAGCAGCTTTCAAGTATACCCTTGAAAGCTTTCCAATTCTGTTTCTGGATTCTTGTTTGGTGTTCTGTATCATTTTTCTTTCTTAGCCAAGTCTATTCTGCCTTGTACATTGTTTGAACTATCTTTTTAACAAAAGCTCTTAGTAGGGTTTCCAAACTAAGCTCCTTCTATTCAGAGATAAACTTTACGTTGCTGTTGCTGATATTATTCAGCTCTATACAGTTTGCTTCATATATTCCTTCCTTTGTGAGTGAGTTTACAAAGTCATTATATAAACTACCTGAGTGGCTTTTAACCTTTGTTAGTATTAGCTGAACTGATTTACTTTTGCAAACCTTCTTAATTGCATACAGAATATTATTATTTTTGTACTTTAACTACTCTCGTATTTTCTCATTTTTAAGACATTTCTCGATTGCAAAGATTACACAAGTGTTATCCATTCTTATTTCTACTTTGCATCTATCAGGAACTAACAAAACTACTACTTAACAAGCTACAAGCTCTGCACGCGTAGATGAGAACCAGTTTTCTATTTTTCACTTATAACTAAAAACTATACTATTTGCACTATCTATTTGAACTATACTAAATCCCATCCTTGTTTTATTTCTAGTATCTTTACCAAGTAAGCTATCTGTATAAAAGACTATTTCTTTTTCTTCTCTATTTGCTTCTAGTCTCTCCTTTAGTTCTGCTCTAATTCTTGTATTCTGAATAACCTGATTAATTAGCTCTGCTTTCTAGCTGCTTTCTACTTCGACTTGCTCTAGATTCTTGACTTTTTTAACTTCCTCTGCTTTGCTTTTCTGGGTCTCTTTTCCTATTTTTCCTAAGTACTTTCTATTGAATACTACTTCTGGTATATTGTTTTTCTTTCATACGAAGCTTGAGATATTGTGAATTTCTTTTAATGCTACTCTTTGTTTTTGGCTATTTTTCCTCAATTTACTTTCTTCTCTGTATGCTTCTTGTTGACTGCATCTTTCCTGCGAGTTTTCTTGGTCTTCTTCCCAAATCTCAACTTCTATAAGCTTCTTTTCCTTTCTAGTGATATGACTAATTTCACTTTCTTTACTGTCTTTACCTTTTATGAGTACCTATTCTTTCTTTCTTTTGTTAGCTAAAATTTTCTCTTTGGTTTTTTGTACTTGAAATCTCCTTTTCTTTTGATATTCCTCTTTTACTTCTCTTGATTTTTTGTTTTCTAGGATTTCATTCTCTAAGACTTGGAACTACTTTGCTTTTCTTCTAACATGTCTCTTTTTTTCTCTTGCTTTGAGCTATCTCCAGATAATCATTCTTACTTGTTCATTATCTAATAGTTGATTTACGTACTATAAATTGAGCTTGCTTATACCTTCTTGTGCTTTTTTTATATTGTATTTGTTAAGGATATTGCTAATAAGATAGTTTTTTCACTCTTGAAGGTTTATAATATTCTAGCTTGCTGTAAAGTCATTTTTTGTAATACTTAGACTGTATTTTTTTGCATGCTATATTATTGTAGCTCTAAGGCTTCTGTGCTTGGTCTTTTTTCAATTCATATTTTCTGTTGTGAGTATGCATTCTGGAATATTCATATCTAGTTGTGATTGCTTTAACCTCATTAACATAGTTATGCCTAAAATACTATTTGTATTTATTCTTACAAAGAGCTCTGATATATGGTGTTCTATATGTTTTTGCCATAGGCTTACTACGCCAAATATGTCTCTATGCCAAAGAGTTGCATTCACGCATATAGATGGGAGCTCCAATTTCTATTTGATTAGTCTGAGCATAGGCTAGTGTATAGCATCATATGATTTTTTTCTTAAACAGATATTTGCAAGTAGATATTTGAGCTTTGATAGCAATACCTTATTGTTTATATATATTATTTGACTTGCTAGGAGTTTTTTGTATTTTAGTATACAAATTAGTTTTCCTACTTCTTTTTTGCAATATAAGATACTTGTTTTCTCTTGTTTTTTTAAGCTTATCCAAACACCTAGGAACTTTGTACTTTCTTCTGGTTCTTTGATTTTCGCTTGACTTGGAGGTGTTCTGATTTCTATGAACTCTTCTTTTTTTCCTTGCTTATGAGGTCTCCAAGCAATTGCTTTAGACTTTGCTTCATTTATCTTAATATCGTTTAGCGTAAAGAAGCTATTTGATACTTATATGATTTCTTGCAGTACTTGTTTAGACTCTGCTACCCAAGTAGTATTGTTTGCATATACTAATGCTGAGATCATAGCTTTTTCGGTTTTGTATATTCAGTTTTCAACATCTACTAGCTACTGGAGCTTTATTTGATACCCAATTCCTAGTTGCTGTATCCTTACTAGCAATGGGTCGTAAAATATTTTCTATATTAGTAGGGAAATTACTTCATTTTGGTCTATTCCATCTCCAGCTACGAAGAAATCTATAAGGCCTTCATCTGTTATCACTCTTATTTCATGATCTTGAAATAATTGCTTAATGAACGTGATTAGGTTTTCTGAAAATTTGATTCTTCTCATAGAAAGCTCTAGAGCATAGATGCTAACTGAGTCGAAAGCTTTCTGCATATCTTGAAAAACTATCCAGAGTTCTTTTTCTTTTTGAATTGCATCCTCGATAATATTGTTTAAAATATGTATAGGTGCTATAGTGCTTTCGTTAGGTAGTTCTGTAAAGTTGGCCTCTTTTAGAATTTGCTTTTCAATAAAGACCTTGCTTAGCCTTTT